GTAGTAGCAGTAGTTGTAGTAGCAGTAGCTGCAGTAGTAGCAGTAGTAGCAGTAGCAGTAGCAGTAGCAGTAGTTGTTGTACGTAGTGCCATTGGTAGCGGTAGTGATAGTAGTAGCAGAAGCGGCAGCAGCAGCAACAGTAGTAGTAGAATAATATTCCCATCACTACTGCTGCTGCTGCTGCTGCTGCTGCTGCTGCTGCTGCCACCACCACCACCACCGCCACCACTGCCAGCATTACCACCGCTGCCGCCACTGCTACCAACTAGTGCCACCGAGAGCGCCATCACCACTACTTGTGGGACGAAGCCTCTGCAATCGGGACGGTCTTATCGTAGGAGACATATTCTGCTGCGGTACTTGAGGCCGTTCTGTCCTTCGACTCGGGATTCACGAGTATGCAGGCTTCTGGACGAGTGCCCGGGACCAAAGGGCGGGGACAGGTCCGCAAAAGGGCAGAGTACGATGCCCCCAACAGCCCATAGATCCCTTTAAAAGAACCCCATATAGTACCCTTTACCCCTAAACCGTTTGAGTCAGGCCTGGCGTTGCCAGTGTTGCGAGACATGGGGCTGCTGGACCTGTGCAAGAAGTTTCTGGGATTTGCGAAGGCCAGGGGTTCAGGGTCCTTAGGTTTTAAATAGTTAAGGGTTTGTAGGGATGTAAGGTTCAGGGTTTACAAAGCCCGATCCCTAAACCCTAAACCGAGAAACGACCCTGAACCCTAAACCCTGAACCCTGAACCCTAGTGGTGTTGAAAGGAGCCGGTCATAACAGGGAGTGTACAGGCGCAGCTCAGCCTTGCCTGCAGGAGATTTGCTACCGAGAGGAAGCTCCGCAACATGTCTACAACTCTTGGGGCGCCTGGCTTAGCGAAGAATAATCGGAATTTTCTTCAGGGGCAATCTGCAATGCTTCCTTTTCCGCAGCTCTTCCGAAGAGCTCAATCATCGATGCTCTAAGGGGCTTCGCAGGACACCAAGCGGGAGTGCGGCCCCCGCCGGGGTTTCAGCCAGATCTACGTTAAATGCACAGAGACTACACCCTAAACCCTGCGTGCCAACTCCTAGTTTAAATGCCTAAGCCCTTAAACCCTAAACCCCTAAACCCCTAAGCCCTAAACGGTACAACCTAAAATGCTGAACCCCTAAACCCTAACCCTAAACCACTAACTGCTAAACCCTACACCCCATAAGCCCCAAGCGCTAAACATTCTGGTTGATTCAGAAACTGTTGTGATGTACCGTACTTCTTCGTGACCTCCAAAGCCCAATCCCTGGTAGCCGCAGTCTGTCCTGGCCTCGCCGGCAGATGGATGACTCCAATTAAGGGTGCCGTAGTATATTGGGGACCTAAAAACGGGACCCTAATTTACAGAACTACCCCATGAACTGTTGGAGGTATGCCCCCTACCTGGCCGGGTATCGTGGCATGGGCGAGGCGCGCATTCTCTTAGATTGCGGGAGACGGCTGACGGTAGGACGGACGGGTTTAGGTAGGCTCTAGGGTGTGGGATGCAGGGTTTGGGATGATTTAGGGTTTTCTGGGTTTCGGGTTTTAGGGTGAGGAGGTTAAGTAAGATGTAGGGTTTCGGGCTGAGGGTTTAGATGGGAATCGGGCGTTCTTGGGAGTCTTCCTCCTCGTCCTAGTGCTGCTTCTACGACTACCGACACCGGTTTGCAACTGTGCTCCGAATCCTCGAAGATGAAGCTCCCGATCCTCACAGGGTTCTTCACTCAAGGATCTAGGAGTCTAGGGTTTAGGAACCCTTGTTAAGTCCTGTGCAGCCCTTATTAACTTATACACGACTTTAGAACTCTATGAAGCCCCATAAAGGCATCTTTCTGAAAACTTCTGCAACCTCGTGAAGCCCGCTTGCAAACCACATTCAGCCGTTAGGAAACCCGTTTTTGCATGAACACCTTTAAAGAAATCCTGACTGTCAAGAATGAATCCCTTTCTGAAACCCTGATAAGCTCCCCATGAAACCCTTCACGGAACCCTTAAAGGAAGCCCCTTAAAGGAACCCCTGGAAGGACCAAGGATCCTTTAAAGGATCTTTTTTAAGGCTGCGAACCCTTAAGGGGTCCCTTAAGGAGGGCAGGGTGGGCAGGTGCACAGCGGCGGCATGCTGCTGGAAGATCAGCTCCTTCACGAGGTGATGGGACAAGTTAGCAAGGCTGAGAATTTGTAGGGGTTTGGCATACCCTAAACCCTAAACCCTAAACCCTAATTCATTCTTTGGTCTTTCCAGCCTCTTGGAGTTATGGATGCCCTTTGCACCCATCTCGCCGCTTCTTTGGCTCTCAGTGCTTGGCTTGACGTTTCATTCCTCTCGGGCGTGCCAGCACACTGCTAGGACTGGGCATGGGTATCGCCTGCGTGCATGCACCGTTTCTTAATTTTGAAATGTCGCCTGCGCAGAGTCAGTGACCCCTAAACCCTGAACCCGAACCCTAAGCCTAAAGCCCCAAACCCCAAAGCATACAGCCCTAAAAGCCCTCTGTAAACCCCGAAAGTTCCAGAACAAAATTGCGGCAGGACTCATGGCTAAGAGAAAGGCCACTCCTTTGGACACTCTTCCGCCCATCTGCGGGGGTGCCGTGGTCACAAGCGTTGTGCCTTGGATAGACTTGAAACGGGATTTAAGATTAAGGTTTTACGCCCAGGGCATTAGCGCCCCAAACCTTAAACCCTTACGGGTTTATGGGTTTTAGGCGCCCAGTTTGGGCCTGACATGTGCTTCGCAAGCTAAGGTGATGTATCCGGTGGACGTGGTGCGTGCCATCTGCACCTCGGCCTGCAGAGTCTTTCACTGGATCCGACTGCTGCAGTGAATCGCTGGACCTTCACAAGCTCTACCCGACCCCACCCACGTAAAGCGCAAAACCCCAAGCCGCCCAAGCCCTAAGCCGCACAGCTGTGCTTTTCATCGAAGGTATGGCCAACCCCGGAACAGGGGCGGGAGAAGCACTGAAAGGCTTCCTCCAGGCTGGGTTTCGCGTTCGCGAAGGGTGGTGATATCAACGATGCCCGTCTGTCGCCTTTCCCGGTCACTTCAGCCAGTGTTGGTTTTGCTTCTGGTTGCCCTCTGCTATCTGTGACTGTTCTGTTGCATGCCCGCTGAACTATACGCACAAGCACTGCGCTCGAAATCAAAAACCCTTACCCTAAACCTTGAATCACTAAAATCCTGGATCCTAGACCCCTGAATCCTAAACCTTGAATCACTAACACCCTGAATCCTAGACCCCTGAATCCTAAACCTTGAGTCACTAACACCCTGAATCCTAGACCCCTGAACCCCTGGGAAGGCTCACGGCGTCATGGGCTTCGTGAAGCAGGGCCTGGTGGCCGAAGTCACGAGGGCTTCCATTTCCCGAGCCATCAAGTGGCCTGACTTGGACCTGGTTAGCGGTTTAAACCCTAAACCCTAAACCCTAAACCATTAACCCTAAACCCTAAATCCTAAACCCTGAACCCTAAACCCTAAACCCATAATACTTCGCAGCATGGCGCAGTGCAGCATGGCATAGCGTGGCATAATGCAACATAGCATAGTATAGCAGAGCATGGCATAGCGTGGTCTTATTTAGCCAAACGTATTGGAGTGGAGCGCAGCGTAGTCAGGCATGGCATGGTATGGTACAACACAGTATAATTCATGTGAGATAAGACCATTTGACATACCAAAAAGGTCAGGTAAGATAACAAAAACAACTAGACCATAAAGGGTTCAATGGAATATAGTACAAGATAACATAATATGAAATGACAGTACCTAAAAGGATAGTGTATTGCAAAAGCAATATCTTAGATCCGTAGAACATAACATAGCAGAATGTGATGTAATATCGTATAGCATAGCATGGTATAACGTACTAACATGACAGAAAATGGGGTCTAACATTCTGGAAGGCTTATGTTTCTTTGTGGATGGTCGTAGTGGGCACTAGGTCACCAGTAGCCCTGCCAGCTGCCCTTGGCCTCTCGTCCGGCTCAGGTTCTTCATGCAGCCCATTGTCGAGACCTTATTGCTGGCACATGCTGTTTAGGGTCGAGGGTTTAGGGTTTAGGGTTTAGGGCTTTTCTCTGTAACCCCTAAACCTGAACCCAAAATCAATGCCCGGACACAAAGCTTGTCGCACCTCTCTGAGGTGCACAAAAACCTCTACGGCAAACCGGAGACCAAGGGCACTCCCGTCAGCAAGGCGCCCTGATTCTGTATTCTGACTATACTGGAGTAGTTCATAGTCTAGTCTCTGACTATACTGGAATAGGTTTTGGTCTAGTCTCTGACTTTACTGGAATAGTGTATAGTCTAGTCTGATCTAGTCCAGCCTAGTCGAGTAGAGTGGAGTGGAGTACACGAAAGAATGATTTGCACGGCTGAGTTTCGTTTGTTAGGTATAGTTTGGTGTAGTGCGGCACAAAATTAGTACAGACGGGCTATGCTGACATGCTGTCCAGGCATTCTCCCTGGGGGATTGTCAACAGAGAACTGCTTGGAATCATGCAGCGCGGTGTCTGGAAAGACAGGGTGCCGGTTCACAATCAGCATGATCGCTGCTCTACTACCGCAGGCCCAATCCTTCCCGGCACAAGTCTCCTTTTGACCGATTCATGCTGTTCTGCTCTGCGACTCGTGCTGCTGAGTTTTCGTCGATTGCCTGACAGCTGTGAGCTGCCCTGGCACATCCTGGCACCATAGACTCCGTCACCATCATAGTTGTATCCTCCTCCTCAACTTCTCGTCGTCGTCCTCGATCATCTTCATCATGACCAAATCATCGTGCAGGTCTCTTCATCTCCGGCGTTACTTGCAGGACCTGGCAGTAGCATGATGCGTATGGAGATGTGTATGTACATCTCTTTAAGTCTCTCTCTGTCCATCTTGTCCATCTATGTGTCTATCCATCTCTACCCTAAACCCTAAGCCCTAAACCCTAATCCCTAAACCCTAAACCCTAAACCCAGCAAGCCTTCCTATCTACGTACCCATTTCTGCATATTTTGGTGTGTTGCAATCTGGCCGCGCCTGGCCAGGGCCTGGCCGGTGCGATTGGCACCTTTCCAGAGGCCCGGAGAGTTTTGCTTTGGGTGCAGGGATGTTCAGGGTTCAGGGTTTCGGGTGTAGGGTTGTAAGTTTAGGGTTTATAGGGTTTGGGGTGCATGGCCTAGGTTTAGGGTTTAGGGGTAGGGGGTCAGGGCAGCTGTTGCAGATCACTGCGCCTCAACAGCGAGACAGGTTCTTGCGATCTCACCGTTGGAGATACTCGTTGGCAAAAGTCGCCGCGAAGGTTTGGCATGCGAAGTCGAGCGCTTGTACTCTTCTTTGCTATATCATTACTGACCTTCTTCACATGGTCTTACTGTCTGTGGCGAAATTGTGAGATTTGGGCGTTCTTGCAACATGTCACGGCTTGCGATCTGTCATGGCGTCTGAGTATTCCCTTGGGCTGTCGAAGTCAGCACAAGGAACATCAAGCTGGCAGCCCAGCTGGACAAGGAAGGAAAGTTTAGCGGATCTGCCGCTCAGCTGCCTACATGACATCGGCCGACCAAGAAACACCTTCAGGGTGCTCGTGCTAGGATACCAGAAAGAGCATCACAGACAACACGATGAAGAACGGCAACCGGAACGCCAAGACACGCGATTGAGATGGAGAGCATGTAATCGTATGTTCAACAACAAAACCAGATCAATCAATGCGAGTCAATGTCAAGGAGCATGCCAACAATAGTTGCTCTGGGGCTAGCAGACAGTGATCTCCCGCTGTAATTAGTGAGACCAATCTCGTAGCAGCAGCAGGAGGATGATAGCGAGGAGGAGGAGGAGGAAGAGCAGAAGTGGTCTTACCAGCAGCTGCATAGAGTGGTAACAGGAAATGTGAAATATGATCCTTATGCGATTGCTGTCATTATCGGCTTTGGCACGCTGGGCACACAAGGAACACAGCCCCAATGTGTGAAACATTTTGTCAGCTCGTGAATATGTAGAAATCCGGACGAGTTTGTAACAAAAGCCATGAATTCGAAGCACTCTTCTCTGTCGAGCATTTCCTACCATATGGGTAGTTGTCAAAATTATGGTCCCCTTTGGGGTACCCTAAATAATAGTTGCCGTATGATAGTAAGGACCCAAAAAGGGACCATAATTTTGACAACCACCCATACAACAGCCCAGGCCGACATCGCGAAGCACATTTTGAAGACCCGAGGATTCAACGGTCTGATGATTGGCTATGCCGGCATGCAGGCCTGGCGGCCCTTGTCAGTTCCCATGCAGGGGTTGTTTGAAGGGTATCATAACGGATTATGATTATGAGGGTTCCTATAGAGGGGTTTGTTAAAGGATGTTGAAGGATATCAGAAGGGAATATCAGGGTTGCTATTGAGGGTTGTTAGAAGGGTATCTTTACGGATTATGATTATGAGGGTTCCTATAGAGGGGTTTGTTAAAGGATGTTGAAGGATATCAGAAGGGAATATCAAGGTTGCTATTGAGAGTTGTCAAAAGGGTAGCATAAGGGAGTATACGGGTTTAGGGCTTAGTTCAACTTCGAGTGGCAGAAGGCTAAGATGAGCAGAAAGGGAGCCCAATCTCGTGATGTGTAGGTCGGAAGTTGGCAAGTTTGTGCAGCCCTAAACCCCAAGCCCCAAACAATGAACCAAACCCCTAACCGTAGGGCCCCGACCTCCTAAACCCCTGAAGCCTGAACCCTAAGCTCTCCTGTAAAGACCCGTCCCTGGCAGGTGCGGCAGTGCTTGTGGACCGGTGGCTTCTTCTTGACGCTGGACCTCTACAAAGGGTGGGCTCCGACCCGAGCGTAGCGTTGAAACGGCAAGCGCTCGCGGGAGCCTACTTGGAGGTCATGGGTAGTTATAAGTGGGGTTATCAGTCCCCTAATATGGGTTATAATTGTAGTTACCCTACTTATAACCCTACGACGTATAACTACCCACGAACCTCCAAGTACATGAGAAAAGCTGGAAGGAGAGTGATTCAAGCGCTTGTGCAAGACTCTCCCGGCTTTCTGCCTGAGGTTAGCAGCGCCGTCTCGAACAAACTCGCCCAGGCCGGAGCCGGGTTTCGGCAACTGTCAGCGTTCCATCGGCTCAGCTCGTGCCTTGGCCAGGATGTGTTGTCTGGCTTCGCTGCCGGGGCCACTGGAACTGCCATGAACTGCTGGACCGACGCACCTTGGCCAAAAGGCGGATGCCGGGGATGTTCCGCTCTTTGCAAACGTCTTAAGGTCTGCCGCTCCATCGTGCAGAAGAAGGACCGGACGGCATGCTTGCGCGGTCCAGCATGATACATGTCGGTAGTGCAAGCATGAGGATGATGATTTTGATCATAATTACCCCACAACTTTCCACAATTACACCATAATTATCTCATAATTATTCCATAATTATCCCGTTATTATCCCATAATTATCCTGCAATTATCCCAGAATACCCCCATAAGTGCCCCCATAGTAAGTACCCCAGTCTTACCAGCCTCGTGCTCCATGTTTTCGGATCCGAGCCCTTGGAGGCCTTGGCGGATACCTTCGACCCCTCCATCCCAAGGCCGGGCGCCCTGAGCCGCAAAGAACAAAAAGAGCCGTGATATGGGTAGGGGCCATCATAATTAAGATTCTAAGAATATTCTAATAATAGCCCAAGAGTATTCTATTGATATTCTAACGTTGTTCTAATAATATTCTAAGAATAGTCTCATATTCTAAGTAATTATTATTTTGAATTTTCATAGAGTTTGGGGTGAATTATACTATCATTAGAACAAGGAGCTCCCAAAACCCTATTCTAATTATTGAGGCCCCTACATTAACGCCATAAACCTCAAAACCCCTGAGCCCTAAGCTGTTTGTCAGCAACAGGAACAGCAGTGTTCAGAAAAACTGACGTGATGGACATCACCATGACACACTTGTCCTGAATCGTCATTTTCGTCATCATCTGTGTCCTCATTCATGCCCGCGTCCCGTCCTCGTCCTCGTCCTTGTCCTCCTCCTCCTCCTCTTCCTCCTCCTCCTCTTCCTGCGCCTCCTTGTCCTCCTCCTCCTCCCCCTGCTCCATTTCTCCCCATTATACAATTATACTGTAGTCATCGTCGTCACGACAACAATCAACGTATATCGGGCCATTATCACTTTCCTCATGCTGCCGTATCATCAACCTTATCATTGTCATCAGTACATGTATGATAGTTAGTATCAGTATCATCCTCCTCTATCATCCTCCTTTCTCCTCCTCCTCCTCTATCCTCCTCCTCTATCCTCATCCCCATCCCCATCACCATCCTCTTCGTCCTCGTCATCGTCGTCATCACCAGCAGCAGTAGAAATATGCCTCCTCGTTCAATGCGGCCTCAGGCCAAGCATGCTGGCACCGTACAATCCCGTGCCCTTCTTCTCGGAGGCATGGATGCCAACCGAAAGGGGTAGCATGGGACAGATCCCTCAGAGGCACCACAGGACAGAGATTTGCGAAATCTCTCTTGCAGTCTCGAGCTTTTGCAGGCAGCAAACCTTGCCACCACCAAGGGCATCGGAAGCTTGGTGAGACATTAAATCATTAGATAGCTCGTTTGGAAAGATTGGCTTCTGCCATCACCGGCCGCTGGTGCCATGACTCACTGCTGCCTGTTCCCAGTCTTACTCTGCACTTCAGGGTGCTCTGTGAGTCCATATTTCTGCCAAATCGGTAGATCTCAAGCCCCCAAAATCCCCAAAACACACACCCTGAAAAGCCCAAAGCCCGGAAACACACACCCTGAAAAGCCCAAAGCCCCAAACACACCCACCCCCTCTAAGCCCAAAGCCCCCCCCAAACCCTCAAAGCCCTTTTAGGCGGCCTCTACGCGGGTGTGGGCCCCAAGATGGTCCACCTCGGCGGCAGCGGCGCCATCCTCGCCGTGCTCATGCCGCGCTTCAAGACCATGTGGCCTGGGCCTTAGGGTTTACGGTTTAGGGTTTAGGGTTTAGGGTTTAGGGTTTAGGGTACCATGTGGCCTGGGCCCCAGGGAAGAGTCCGTGCTTGTAGGATTTGGGTTTTTTGTTTAGGGGTCCGTGCTTGTAGGGTTTGTGGTTTAGGTCTTAGGGATGTTTAGGGTGTAGGGCTGCCGGGTTTAAGGACTAGGTTTATGCTTTTACAGTTGTGAGTTTAGGATCCTTGGTACTCGCAGTGGGCTCGTCTCGGGTTGAGGGACTATTTCAGATGCAGGGCTTCGGATTTTGAGTTTAGGATTCCTTGGTATTAGTGGGGCCGTATCCTCGTCTGCATGCGCAGACTGCCAGCGCAGCAGATGGTAGTTAGTTTCAGAAACGGGGAAACCCGTCATTTGGTCCCGAAACCGATCTTCTGCTCTCGGAAGATAGCGTCCTAGCCTTATCTTGCATATGATGTTCTGCAGTATGAACTAGTTATGTACAATAGAATACATGCAGAATACAACAGAATATGTAAATCCTAATACAATACATGCACAATCCAGCGTAATGTAGTAATGTAACTACCGAGGGCCTCGTACTTTTCAGGCGCCCAGAGCCTAAGACCTTAAACCCTACGACCCTACAACCCTGAAGCCCTGAAGCCCTGAGACCCTATCCAGGTTTTAAGACCCTAAAACCCCTGAAACCCTAAACCCTAAACCCTGAAGCCCTAAACCCCGAAGCCCTAAGACCCTCACCAGGTTTGACATGATGGGCCTCGAGTGAGCGCCAAGTCGTCGAGGCCGGGGGCCCAGGAGCGGCAGCCCCTCTCTGGCTGCTTGCTTTTTCAATCCACACCTCTACTTAAATTTGGAAATAAATAATTAACTAAATAAAGAAAGAGAGAGAGAGAGATATATATATATATATACATATATATATATATATGTATATATATATATATATGTGGGTTTAGGGTTTAGGGTTTAGGGATATGTATATATATATATATACATATATATATATATATATATATATTATTTATATATGTCATTCTGAAAGGTTGGAAGACGTCATTGCCGAGTTGGAGACTGGGCACCTTGGACTCAGACGCTTGGGACAGCGACGACCAGCGGGAGTTGTAATGTGGGGTTTTGGGTTTTTGGGTTTAGGGTTTAGGGATTAGGGTTTAGCGTTTAGGGTTTAGGGATTAGGGTTTAGGGTTTAGGGTTTGGGTTTCAGGGCTTCGGGTCAGAGTAGTAAGGTACTTTCGGTGTAGGGTTGTAGTATAGGGATTTAGGGGTAAGGGGTTTAGGATTTCAGAGAACGGAAGGTAGTAGGATACTTTGAGTGTAGTGTGGGGCTCAGGGTCTGGGACCTAGGGATTAGGACATCAGGATTCAGGGTTTGGAAAGCGGCGCATCGAGCTGATTCTCGCAGCACCAGCTCTATGTGGTGAAGTGCTGTCTGCATGTTCCAAGGACCAAGAGTTTATTCGCCAAATTTCAGCCATCGTGCTGCGTCTGAGGGCTTGGAATTCGTACAAGCGTGCTCGAAGCCCGCAGCGAGCGAAGCTGCCACTCGATAGTTTCCTTTTTAATTATTACCGAGGCTCGAGAGGAATCCAAGCTTGCTTAAAAAGGCTGAGTTGGCTGCACTCTGCTCAAGGCAGAGGCTTGCAAAGACTTGTTGTTCTCCGGCAGTTCAGGGAGGACCAGCGGCGTACCTCTGCACATGAGCGATGCCAGGAATCCGATGCGTGGCCGTCACCACCTTATCCGGCTTTGAGACTGCAACACCTGACATTTCGTCGATTTCCCGGGCTCGAGGCAAGCGGTCATCTACGGATTGTGCGATGCTAAGATGCGAGCTGAACTGTTTGCCTTGCGGTAGACCTGCCGGTTTCATTCGTGACAGCAAACCATGAAAGCCCCCTAAGCCGTAGACCCGTACAACCAATAGCCCTAAACCCCTAAACCTCAATTAAACCCCATAAACTCTGCGCCCCTCAAAGCCAAAGCCCTTAACAAGGCTGGCGATCTCCCTGGTCCATGCCTTCTTTGACATCCGCTTGTCTCAGGAACATTCTTCTGGGCCTAGGCCGCGTCGTAGCTGGTCAAGGGCTTTGGGGTTGGCTGTTATAGCGTTCAAGGTTTTCGGGTGATAGGGTTTTGGGGCTTGGGGTCTAGGGTTCTGGGCGCATATTGGGCTTCGGAGGAGAAGCCTTTAAGGCCGTTCAGGCCTCCTTCGGTCTTGCTTTGTGGGAGCTTACAGTAGCAAGGATCCTCAGATAAACATCCCCAAAGCCTAAACCCTGAACCCGAAACTCTAAACCCGAAACCTTAAACCCGAAACCCTAAACCCTAAACGCTAAACCCTAACACAACCTTTGATCCTAAGCCATGCCAAAGTCATTGCACTGCAAAACGCGACAAGAACGCAAAAGCCAGGCCAAAGCTTTGAACCTAAACCCCAAACTCCAAACCCCCTGGGCCCAAATTCCCCTTTTTGGGGAACCCCCCTATAGGTCCCTTGTCGAATCCTTATGGTACCCTTAAAGTGCTCTAAAGTACCCTGAAAATTCGCAAGCCCCCTGGGCCGGTTAAAACCCTAAACCCTAAACCCTAAACCCTAAACCCCTAAACCCTAAACCCCAAACCCTAAACCCTAAACCACAAACCCTACAAGCACGGACCCCTAAACAAAAAACCCAAACCCTCCAAGCACGGACTCTTCCCTGGGGCCCAGGCCACATGGTACCGTAAACCCTAAACCCTAAACCCCAAACCCTAAACCCTAAACCCTAAACCCTAAACCCTAAACCCTAAAAGACAGAAGGAGCTTTGCACACCGCAGCTCTGCGAAAAGCTGGAGCTCGAACCTCAGCTCGCCAGAGCCTTTTTTTTTTCCTTCGGGTGTACTATAGGGGCCTTAGTAATTAGCGATACTCTTTTCGGGGTTCCTTATTTTATAGCATATTCTACCCCAAAACCCAATTCTGGTTAGTAAGGGGGTTGTTGGGTTTTAGGGTTTTAGGGCCTTTGGGGGTTCAGGGGAGGGTGAGGATAGTGGATTTCGTTCGTGGAGTTTTCAGCGTTGGAAGCTTTTGTTTGTTTTTTTGAAATAGGGCTCTGCAGCTGGAGTTTTCTACACAAGGTCCCGGTTTGAAATCCCCTCCGACGTGAGCATCGGTCGCTCGACCAGTGCTGCTACTTCTGTTTGAAATATCAGTGTTGTGACGGACAGCAAGCCACTTCTGTTGAAGGCTTTACGCGCAGAAGGCCTGCACCGCGTTTGCCAACAGGCACGGGAAGAAGCCATAAGAAGCCGTTTGCTGGCTCGCTGCCCAACCCAAGAGCCTGCTATATGGCACGTGAGCGCCGCTGTCAGGTGCCAGATGTACAAAGCATATCCTGTGTCCGACCAAGTGGTCCAGCAGCAGCCTCAGAACCGCACATACTGCAGGTTCTCAGGTCCAATATCAGTTGCTGCAGGTGTGCTGAACTGGTGACAAACGTTCAAAGCAGGACGAAGAGACTATGATGCTGATGATGATGATGATGAGGATGAGGATGAGGATGAGAATGATGATGAGAATGTGCAAACTGGTAACAATGGTGGCGCCGAGAGAAACAAACGTTTCAGTAGCAACTACATTGGACCTTCTTGTGGTGTGTAGTGATGTGACTACTCATACTGAGGTTCAAGACATACATCAGGAACATATAGGTATACATATATATATATATAGAGAGAGAGAGAGAGAGAGAGAAGCAGGACAACACGACAATGAAAAGCAGTAGCGATATTTTGTGTACCAGCCGCCTTCCCAAAGAACCCTACATCCTAATGCCTGATCCGGAACCGCTGAAGCCCTAATGTGAGTAGTTCTCTGAATTAGGGTCCTTCGTTCCAGGGGTAAACGGGACCCTAGTTCACAGAGTTACCCATGTGCAACAGCGTCGAGGACGCGACTTCCGCTTGGAGCAGGCGGTGGCATTCAGGGTTCAGGGTTTTAGTGCTTAGGTTTAGGGATGTCGCCTGCCGAAGCATGCGACAAAGGGCTTTGTCCATACAATTTGCTTTGTTAGGACTTTAGGGTTTACCAAACAAAGTCAGTTTTATCTCCCAAAAAGGGGATTGGGCATTATTTCTTGGGAATTGGGAAAAGAAGACCTGCGATTTGGGGATTCGGAGAGGGGTTTGGGGATGAAGGAAAAGGGTTCAGAGCCTGGTGAGTTCGAAGAGAGTTTGAACCCTAAACCCTAAACCCTAAACCCTAAACCCTAAACCCTAAACCCGGGTTCAGGGCTGTTTGTGGCATAGCGTTTCGCCTTTCAGGTCTGTCTCAGCGTGGGACGGACAATTAATGTAGGAACCTGATGAAGAAACCCTGGCCCTATAACCCCAATATGAAGCCGAATATATTGGGGTTATAGGGCCAGGGTTTCTTCATCAGGTTCCTACATTAATTGTCCGTCCCACGCTGAGGGCTTCATAGTAAGAACCCTAATAAAGGCCCAGGGTTTCTTAATCAGGTTCCTACAGTAGTCGTGGCGCAGGCTTCTTCGATGACGACTTGCACTTCTTTGTCTGCGAGGCTACTGCTAAGTTGTTCACTGACTCACCCCGTCTTCTCCAAGTCTCTACGGTGGAACCCCATAACCCCTAAACCCCTAAA